GTCTCCAATAGACTAGACTAATTGTACAATCCCCATTGAGCACCTTTGGAGGTCTAGGTATCTAGCATCAGTTTTGCAAAAAAGATTGTTGTTCAAAAGTAACAGTAAGTTCATTGATTAGTAGCAGCATGCAGGGTGTTGTGCCAGCCTGGAGCTTCAATAATACCCATGTACAACATGTATATATATACTTATATATTATATATACATATATATGTACTAAATGTCTATATATATTTTAGTGTAAATATATATGTGAATCCCTTGACCCTTCAGACGGAGGGTTCTCCGGAGACTTTAGCTTCCTCAACATGAACACGGATGCTCATTGCCCCACCCCCCACCCCCGACCCCTGGAAATATGCAATGGGAAGCTAAACTCCATTGAAATATGTGATGAGCGGATCATGTTCTGAAAGACATGTTTGTAATTGGAAACGGAACTCTATGGGTGAATCCAATTCCTGCTACATTGCATCTGTAACATCTAGCACTTGTCAACTTGGAAATGCCCGTTGTCTAACAAAAAATCCGTCTTGACTGGAAGTACAACATGTTTGCAACAACGCACACATGCTCTCCCCGAGCAGGCTCCGGGTTCAGGAGTCTTTCAGTCTTTCTACACCTGTTGAAATCTGTCGGGGAACCTCCGACCTGCAGCCTCACTTGATTCATTCAATATGACTATGATGACTATAAAGTATAGACATCCGTGTTACATTCAGTGTGTGACTTAATACAAGGAAGATGAAGAACTCCTCAGCTCCTCAGCTCGACCAACATGCGGAGCTGGCTGCACCGAACACAAAGACCCCACACCTCAACCAGTGCCAATGAGCGAAGGTTTTGCAGCGGCATGTTGTGCAGCCACAAATCCGACGGCTTTCTTTGCAGTGAAGGGGCCTGTTCTTCGTCCTCCTCCTCATCTTCCTCTTCTGCCTCACCATCTCAAAAGCCCAAATCCCTCGGCCTGCAATAAAAGAACACTCAATGAACCACTTACTTGGCAGTCGAGCTTAACTCGTGTCCCTGAACAAAATCATGAAACATCACATTCCGGAGACCTTCTTCTGCACCCTACAAGTACTCTTTCTCAGCTTCTCCCATTGGCGCCTCTGGATTGCAGGCCTTGAGAATCTCAGTGCATTGCCTCTCCATGCCGCCGAAAACAACGGCGGGCACCCACGGCTTTCACCGTACCCAGCAGTTGGCTTCCCCGTTCGCACAAAGAGGGAGGACGAGGCTGGACGAGGCTTCCTGTGGATGCAGTCGATGCTTGGCTCTTGGGTGTTGAACCACACAACTCACCCAAGAACTGCGGTGAGCTTGGGGAGACCAAAGGAATTTCCCTGAATCCAAGCTGCTGGTTAAGCTTGGTAGCAAGGCTGGTAGCTTGTCTGCCTAAACTTCGACTTCCACCCTTCTCCGCCAGGTCTTCCCTGCAGCCACCCCATGTAGGTAGGATGAACAAAAAAGACACAAAAAATATATCAAGCATTCAACTTCTCTACCTCAACCCCCCAAAGCGACCCACCGCAGCAAGCCACTTTTCAAGTCGGGCCCGTTTCCCATGTCCCCCTGTCCCGCTGAGCTGCTTGGACCAGGGGAACATGGCATCTCAGCCCTGGGCAGCGCAGCACCCAGGACCAGCAAGTGTCCCACTCTGCTCGGGTTTCACAGAAGTTGGCATTGTGGAATGGGAACTTTTGAAGGGGGCCTCCCCTTTTTGTGACACCATCAGCCACATCCCTGCTTCCGGGAATGAAAGAATCGGATGTTCGCATTTATGACGGAAAAATGAGCTTTGAGTGGCACATCACTAGGAATCCAAGTATCTTCTCAGAAGGTACCTGGACCCTCCAAACCTACGCAACAGTGTCTCCAATCACCTTCTGAGAAGGTACGACTGGATCCCCTAGGCATCAAATCTAGAGATTCTCACCTGACAGGCGGGGAATCATTGCTATTGCAAGTACCTAAGGATTCTGATTCCTATATATATAGTAACAAGTGCCTTACTAGTAGTAACAAGGTTCGCTACTAGTAACAAGTGCCACGCTAGTAGTAACAGGTGCCTTACTGGTAGTAACAAAAAGCTATTAGAATTTATAGTTCAATCAACCAATTGAAGTTGTTCCCCCCCCAGTCCCTCGCGCCGAAACGGACGGATCGGGGCTGCCAACAGACCACAACTCATGGACCCCGCGGACCTGGCCTACCTCCTGGGTGGGTGACTGGGCGGACGGACTCCGTTTAGGTCCTGGAGCCCGGATGGCCGATCTATGATCTGGAGCCCTTCTCTTTAGCAAGGGATCCGGAAGAGGGATCCTGGAGCCCTTCGAATTCCGCTGGATAGATTCCTCCCTTGCTGAAGAGAAGGGCTCAGGAATGTTGAAAAACCTCCTGTCATGGCGCTCGTGTGGGACGACGTGTCAAGAAAAAGGTCTACGAGTCTTGGTCTAGGCTAGTCATAATTACTGTATAAACCATTTTTGCAACGTTCCCCTGAAAACGCTATAGCTCTATCACTTAGTCCTTCTTCTTCATGCAATCGGACACACCTGATTTCTCGGTTCGGTACTCACACCTTTCGACCCTTTCCTGGATGTATAAGTTCTTCAAAACCAGGAAGCTGGTTTACTGGACACCCTATTTTAAGGCTGACTTCCACCCATCAACAAAACAAATTCACCAGAAGCCTCTCATCCCACGCTGCTCCAAACGTCGCTGGCGAGCAAGTGGCATGTGTTTGGGCGTCCACGTGGCCGCCGCGTCGCGGTGAGTTGAGCGACCGACGACTAACGTGGCCTGGTGGGCTGACGAACGGTTTTTTGCCAAAAACACACGTGGAACGGATATCTGGTTGTCCAGTCCTCAGTGTGTTCAGCAGATACAGATGACTCTGTATACACTTTGCTGTTGGGGGTGTCTTGTTTCGTGCCAGCAATGGAGCTTGAGTACAATATCCCATCGCCATGGGTGATGATCAGGATACTGATATTTGTGACAACGGATACTATATATATATATATATGTAAATTTATATTATATTTGTGATGATTCAGGCATGACATATCACATTTCGTACCTGAAAACCCCGTCGTTTGTCGTGTGTAGACGTTGCGACCTTGAGCGGTTTTCCGACCTTCAGCGACCGAGGCGGGCGCTCGGAGAGTCGTTCAACCGGCGAGACCGAAGGCGGAGCTCAAACAGGTCAACGAACGGGCCTGCTTCGTGGGATGAAGACGCTTCGAAGGCATTTCGCCCCATTTCGCCCAGCCAACGAAAACAGATCAACTTGCCTTCTCTTGCTTCAGATGTTGAGAACTAGCTAACTAGTGCAACTAGTTGGACCAAAATATCTTAAAGGATCTTAAATAAAAGAGCAAACTCTGTTTGCTGGATAGGTGAACCTCCAAAGCCCATGTCATTCATCAAAAACCACCTCAAAAGGACACATGGCACCACCAGAAAAAAAACAAAAGAAACACAGCATGACAGCTACTGGATGCTACTGGTGTTCATTCGGTTCCCAACATTCCTGTCACTACGATTCATCGTTCTCAGGTTGCCCGGAACGGTTTCAGGAAGAAGGACCCGAAGGGAGAAGATGTTTGGGGCTGAACATGGATGCTATAGGATGATAAGACTGACGATTTAACTTGGAGTGCAGGTGATACAAAGCACATAAGATTGCTTGGATTGGACACATGGAAATCTGGCTCTTCACGGGCTCAGGGAACTCCGACTGGCTCTACTCGCTCTGAACGGCTCGCAGTTGAAGGGGCAAAAACATGGTTTGTTAATATATATATATATATTATATCGTATACCTAGAACATCTGGCCGAACCCATTTGACCTCATAGAACAAGACACTATTATTTTGGATAATTTGTTGATCCTCTGAAACAGAGGTCATTCAGGTTCTAGGTATGCATACATACCCCCAAAGAGCCGATCCGTCGCTCCCCGATCCAAGCATCCTGATTCCACCATATGATTTGAAGGTTGCAAGTTGAATTGTCTTTTGTGTTTCTTCCTTTAAGATGTTGATTTGTTCTGGTTTCTTCAAGGACCCGTCGTCCTGGTGGTTCATCTTGCCCTTTAGTTGTCTAAAAACATGGAAGTTGTACTGACAACATGACTCAACAAGTTCTATCAACCTTTTCTCAAGTCGCGGCGTCTACCATGTTGAACACGAACGATTTCTACACTAAACAACTACGTTGACTGGTTTGATTTACCACCAGCGGTCACCTCAATCGCCCCATTCTCTTCGCACGAGACGGCGGCGCACTGGAGTCGCCTCTGAGGCCATTTTTGCCTCTGAGGGCATGTTTGAACTCCTACGGGTATGTCAGGGTGGCCCGCACCATGCAGCGTGATCATCTGTATCTTCAACAGGGGGCCACCCTGGAAGGTGTCCAAGGTCCATTTCCAACACTTAAGGTAAGTGACAGATTGGCGTAATTCATGTGAATACTGAATATACTCTGCTAAAAGAAACATAAAACAATTAAGAATAAAAGCACTTTGTGCAATCTGAAATAAGTCTAAGCATGCTTGTGAGGTCACAAGTTTTGAAGAGTTGGAAGCATAGGGCAATAAAATCACAAAGACATTTGGTGCACCACATCCTCAATCACGATCCCCACAGGCGGCTGAGCTTGGATTGGAGAACCCAAGCTCAGAGGCGATTCTAGCCATTCTTGAATCCGGTTCACCCTAAGGCGGTTTCTTAGCCGGTGAACCACAGATCCACAGAGCGTCTTTGATTCTGCAGAGAACGTATCGCACAGCGGCCCCGCCCCCTCTGGGTGTGTAAACAGGGAGACCGCCCTGTTCCAGACCCCGGTGGAAGAAGGAAAGTAGACCAGTCTACCGTAGTCTACCGGGACACATCCATCAAAAACACCTCCATCTTGCTGTCTTCGTCTGTGCCGTTGATTTGCGTCTGTCCAAGTGACCTTTGTTACTAGATGTTACATGATGTTACTAGTAGCTTCTTGCTCCTTGGAAACACCTGTCACAGCGAATTCGACTCTTCGAGCTTTCAAAGGCCACTTTAGGCCTCATCCACCCACTTCTGGGGTGTCTCTGAACTGAAACATCCCGACTCAACCAATCGCTCCTGCGGTGTTTGCGGTGTTTGTGAGTCAGGAGTTTCACCGTTTCACAGATTTCATGACTCAACAACACTTGAGTCAACCAGTCTTCATGGCATGCAAAAGAGTCTATAGTCCACCCCAAAACCATCGGAGGCATCAACTGTACATGTAAATCTCCAAGCTGTTTCTTATATGACATCTGCCGCATGTCGGTCCGGACACGGACTAGGACGACCCGAGGGCGTCCTCATCCACCCGAAACAAAGCGGTGACCCGAAACGGAGGCTCATCTGACCGGTTCGCGTCCGGGATTTGACCTTCACAACTAGGGTTTTGGAGCCGCAAACGTGTAGTATACTTGGTCCGGGTCTGTCCAGGTCGCCTCTGGTGACAAAGACGACGTGACATACGACATACGACATAGGACAAACAACGCTTACCCTCCAACCGGAAGATCGATCCGACTGACTCAGCACATGCCCATGAAACAAAAAGAGCAAACAAGACATCAACGCACATATAACACATATAACATTATATAACTGCTGCATGGATGGCGGTTAAAACATTGGTAAAAAAGACCACCCAACAAAACAAAAACTTCAGTCACCTGAAAAAGAGTCCGTCCCAAAACAGGCTTTGGAAAGTGAAACGTTGATGAAAACACCAGGGTAAATCAACTTCACCAAGCTCCAACATGTCAAACCCGTCCACACCGATCCCCGGACATAAAGGGCGACCCACCTGCCTCAGTGCCGGCTGACCTCCGAGTCCAGCTCCGACGAGACATGGAGAAGCTATATCTTCTGGATGTGCTTCTCAGTAGTAATGCCCCTTGTTACTAGTAATGCCCCTTGTCACTAGTAGTAATGCCCTAGGGGTGAAATTTATAAGGCCACAGGGATCCAAGTACCTTCTCAGGAGATTAAAGGCACTGTTAATTCTCCACAGAAAAGGTGGGTAGCGGTGGTTGTTCATTTTTTGGGTGGTGCATGGGAGGTCTGTCCCTACCGAGAAGGTAGGGACGGAGCCCACAAATAGTAGGGAGATGTTGGTCTTCCCAATGGATTTTTTGGGGGTCTCCCTCTGAACAAATACATACCCATTGGCCCGTCTCTGTGTTGAACAGTCCTGCCAATGCGTCCAAGGTCAGCTTGTGACCCATGGAGTCTGTGCTTCCGCTTGTGACCCTTCCTTGTCAACAATCTCGTCAGAGTTCCGGATGACTCAGCTTGGAATCTGCACGAGTTTGCACCTTTCAACAAACTGGTTGTTTCAACAGGTTATTTAATGTTGTTTCCTGACAGTGACATGACAAAACATTAACAAGAACAACATAAGACATCCAAACATGATTGCTGCATCTGCAGTTCAATTTGATGAGGAACTGTTTTATAGAATAACAACAATTGGCAGGTACCAGGCCGGTCTTCCCAAGCGATTTCTTTCCAGGGGATCAACTGCTTGATTTTCCATACAAAAGCAGGCCCAACGAGCGACATTTCCATACAGGTTTTTGTTGGGTCAACTCCGCCTGCATCGGCGTCGGGATCGCAGGCACCCAAACAGGTGCGACGCTTCCGCGAGGCGCGACGGTTCCTGGAAGCAGCCTGGAGATGGGCGGTCGAGACATCACATCGTCATGGTTCATCGTAGTTTGTTGTGACGGGAACTTTCTGACAAGGTTATCATGGATGATTCTGAAGGTTATCATGGGGTCACAACTGCCTTCTGGTCCCCAGTTATCATGGATGATTCTGACAACTGCCTTCTGACAACTGCCAGTCAAAAGTGTGTGACGAGATGGAATGGAGAGCGAAACCCCTGCTGGCCAGTTGCGGGAAATATCCCTAGGGCTCCAACCATATCCTCAGGAGGTGGTTGGAGCCCTAGGGTGTATTCAAGTCCGTTTCACATGTCTTCTCGCTGATGACACATGCATATCTTGCTCGGAGCACCTGCCAATCCATGGCATCTGGCAACTTCCCCACAAAAAGACTCTGGGCCGGACATTTTTTCTGGCATCGCTTCTGCGTCCCGTCAAAAAATATCAATCTATTGAGCAATCAATCAATCAATCAATCAATCAATGAAGCAACTGTATGACCAAGCAACCAATCCATCAATCAATCGATTAATCAACCCAATCGGTCTTTCTCTTCTCAAAGCAAAGAACGAACGACACCGAACGAACGACCCCCGGTCCGGCCTGGGTTGTACATAGGTCACCTGCGCCGGTACCCACCGCGAGCTGACAAAACGCGCGAAGCAACGAAATGACCCATCCAAAGCCTTGACACTCTGCGTCATGGTTAAGTGGATGGTGCCCTGCCCCCGAGAAAGGACCATGAAATCCGAAGATCAACGGTGTGAAGTGACCGGACCCGTAACTTGGGGTACCAGACTGGGATAGTCGAACTAGGGTTCTTCAAATTTCTTCAACCTCTGTTGGCACCAAACAGGCAAACAGGTGCGTTTCCTCCTTGATTACATTAAATCGCAAGGGGTTGGTCTTGGGGAACTTTGTGTGGCTGGGCCGATTTAGCTGGCATCCTCCCTTCGCATCCGATCGCGAATGCGAACTCGTCCACCGTCCGTTCTCCAGGACCCTCCATCGAAAGCAGAACGCGCCTTCACCGCGAAGCACCAAATGAACGATCTAAGCACAGCTTAACCCTAAACCCGCACAGAACCCCCTAAGTACTGTAAACGGAACGCCGCGGTTCGTCGACTCGGTTGGACGTGTCGTTCGGTGGTTGGAACGCATCCGACCGGAGAAGCGTCGACGTGTCGCTTATTATACTTAATTGATTTATCCTTCCTTTCATTACAGGAGTCTGTTTTAATGTAGCGTCCCGTTATGAGCTTTCGAATGTGATTTTTGGGTGTCCATCGTTTCCCGAGTCACTATTTCGGGATGGGAGCTTGATATTTGGAAAGCTGCCAGTCAGGTCAGCAATGATTGCGGCTTCAGCAGGCCATAAAGCTCTTGCTTGCATTGGACCTTCCGAGTGCTCTCTAACAGTTACGCTGCATCACCCATCTCACACAGCTGCATCACTCACAGCTCTGGACAACCAAGAGGTAAGAAAATGAAAGGCTTCGCTCTGCGTGATTCTGCGTGTGTGCTCTGCTAGCGCGCATGGCCACCACAGATTGAAGATAGAAATCTCATGAAATCTCCCTATTCATCAAGGCCATATATGTTGTTTCTTGAAAAAAAGGCAACAAACATCGAAGGGTTCTGCAAAGACGCTCAACTTGTGCAGCCCTGAAACATCAACAGGTGGATCATCCAAAACCCTTCGCAATCGGACTCTCGCCTGTGGAACTCGAGTGACGACCTGTCAGGGCTGTCCCAAATGTACAGTGGGTGCCGGTGAGTACAACCACGGCACTGGCACCCTAACATGTGATCCGATAGGTTTTTGTTGGTTGGGAGTCCACAAAAACTATACTTTTTAGGGATTGTACTGTACCATCTACTCACTCTAAAACCACGTTTTTTGTATCTTCACGGAGTGAACCTTGGTCAGTCGTGGCTACACTTCCAGCACTTTGAAGGTCCGTGCGCCGCTGGGGCGTTGCTGTGAAGGAACGCCTGGACCGAACGGCTGGCCGCTCGGCTGAAAAACACATTTCGACGGAAATGTTCACGTCCGTCTTTAGGCATCTGAATTAGGCCACAAGCAAAACCTAGTAGAAATTCCCTTAACCACTGACCACTGGCCTAACTGGTTGCAATCCGTATAGAAATTCCCAGTCTAACTGGTTGTAATCCCTCTCTAGTAAAAAGTACTAGAACTTCCCCACTAGACCATCCAATTCTATCCTTTTGGTAAGCAAAACTACAGCCGAATCCCGAACCGGCTCATGACCCCCAACGCGCCTGGACTCGACGGGGCGGAGCCTAGCGGGAAGAGAAGCTGATCCTCCGAGCCCCTGGAGAGAAAGGGTGTTAAGGGCTAATCACTAGGCTAATCATATTGAAAATCGATGTCAAGCCCTGGTGGAAAAAAATCTAGATATGAAAGGGATGTAACGCCCAGGTAAAATCACCAGTCGCGATGAAGGGATGACGTGAGTCGGCAAAGGCCTATTTCAAAAGAAATGTGGACACAAAGTATGACAACTGGTATATGAGCAGGCCATATGGATGCACACCTACTTCTCCCAATATTGCCAATTGTATGCCGTGTCAGTGTCATCCATCAAACCAGCCCAAAAAGCAAAACTTTGCATAGTGGGAAGAACTAGGTATGCAGTGCTTGATGATGATGATGATGATGATGATGATGATGATGATGTGCTATGATGTGCTAGATCGTGAGAGCCAGCAACATTTGGGCACCAGGAGCGCCAAGGTACCCCAGAATCAAGCGCTGTTTGGTACGTCAAAGCACTCCAAACAAAGGCGGGAAAACACTTCCGGGCACTTTTCCTCAGATTGCGCGAGCTAGTGGGGTTCTTGCTTCCAGTATACGAAGAGGTGCCTGTGCGCGAGCCTGGTTCCTGGCGCCACTGCAGGGTGCCGCTGCCAGACGTGTGGCCGTGTGTGCTTTGGAGCTTGGGTGCTGGTGTTGCTGCAGGGTGCCGCTGCCAAATGCGTGTATGTGTGACCGTGCGCGAGCCTGGTTGCTAGTGTCGGTGCAGGATGCCGCTGCTCTGCTGCTGCCGCCGGTGCTGCCCACAAATATCTTAGCTATCTGGGGTCTACGCTCCTATTTGTGTGAACAATTCTTTGAGACATCCTGACCCTGCCCTCCACCCCAAAAATCAGGTCCGGCCGTGGTTCTGCTTGGTGATGCAAGCGCCGCCGATCTCCGCAGATCGCGGCGCGCGGAGAAACGTCCCACCTGCACAGAGGGTGGCTGAGGCATTGCCAACACCTGAAAGCGCGGAGTTCTCCGGCTTTGGGCGCCCAGAAAAAGCGAGCGCTGCGCTGCCAGAGTGGTTGGGCGCTGCCAGTGCATCCGCAATGTGCATGGGGCTTTAGTGATCTGCCCAGCGATGACCCTTGAATTGCTATGCAAACGGGCCATCGTTGAGTGCTATGCAATAAAACATGTCCATTAAGGGCGCGCTCCACCGTTTCTCCAGTGACGTCGAGTGCAATGTATAACGATAAAGCGATGGTTTCGAAACGACTCCTGCACTGGAAAGCGCCACAAGATCCGTGACTCACATGAAATTCTTTACATACCCATAAGCTGCAGAATCGGAACCATTCGATAGAGAGTACCAGCGAAGCAAAAACCAGCATGCTAGTGGGTGGTGTCTGCATCTAAGAAGTCATCCTGGAGTAGATAGAATATGACTAAATAGAACACACACCAAAGGAAAACGGGTCCTGGTTTTGGATTGGTTGGACATTCTATCTACTCCAGGATGCTTGCGTAGCTGTTCCCGAATTTCTACTTGTCCATCAAAAACCAGTGCTTAACACCCATCGGAAAACCCGGACCGCAGAGTCAGTGGTCAACTGACTTAAGTGTTGTCCCCATTTAGGAAGCGACCGGTTGACATCATCATCCTGTGAACGTAAGTATTAAACAAAACAACAAAGAACAAACATGCCGAATCCCATGTCAATTGAGTACTGATGATCAGCATAGCCAAGTGTAGAATTGCCATGGGCAAGCCAAAGGATTCTCGCCATCGAAGAACTGATCATCATCAACATGGTTCATATCCCTGGCACAAATGGATTTCATGGATTCCTGATCCGCCGGATCCCGTTCAGCTTCCGGTTGGTCAAACGACCTGCACTGAGAATGCTTTCTCACCCTCGGTCTCAAGTCATCGCACCGATCTTCCTCTTCCGGCATAAGACGACGCCGGCGTTGTTCTCGTCCTCGCCCCGGTCGTGGCCCAGTGGTGGCCCGCCTGTGGAGGATGCGCGTAGTATTGCATGGCCTGGCCGGTAGAACATCGAAAAGCCGGAGCTGCTTAGGCGGTGGCATCGTGTCTCAGTCGGAGCCAGGGTGGAGCATGGTGGAGCCGATGAAGGAGCATCTGTTGGGTTGTAAATACCGTGGTGTTTCACCCGGATTTCAGAGTAAATGGCGACCTCAGCCTGCCGTCGAACGATGGATTTCTGATGATTGAAAGCTACGGCAAATGGTGGGGAGTGTAAGGGGGGAAAGATGGGGAACGACTTGGAATTCATAATGCATTTTATGTTTCCTGTATATATCTTGCTATAGTTAACTGTTAGTAAGAAGTTTCAATCCTTTGATGAAGATATACTATATATATATAGTTACATGCACTTAACATTAATTGACTAATGTTAATTATATATGGTCTTGGGGATCTCAAACCTGGATATAGATGTAGCTGCACAGCATCATTTTCTGATGCAACCACGAAGACAAACCTGTTCGGACCAGGCTCCGTTCCTTACATGACCAGCCCCTTCGAGCCCGGTGAACCACCGGTCGCCCGGCCCCTTCGCGCGCCCGGTCTGTACCGGTCGGAACCACCCGCCGCCTGCCGCTGTTCCGCGCGCCGGCGCCCGGCTTCCATCTGCGGAGTGGAGAGGAGGAGAGTGAGTCTAGCAAAAACTCATTGTGGATGGGGGGGATGGGGGGGTATTACGAATCAAGAGTCAACATTAGATTGTTTGAAATGATCGAAGTGAAGCATGGCCACTTGGATGGACATGTTGGATGAGCGTGTTCCTTGAGAAACAGGTGGTGACAGAAAAGACACCCGCACGCCGCATGATGATTTCGGCAAGTGTCGCTTCCATTCACTTCCCATTTTCGGATTTGGGCTCACGAGATACCAAGAAACAGGGGTTCCATCAGTGAGGATCCCAATTAGACATCACTGATCACTGCTCTGAGCTCTTCAAAACACCAGGATGTGGCGAGTCCTACAGGCTCGTTCCATCTCGGGTGGACATTGGGTCAAGTCAAAACCAGGAAGCCCGACCGGGGTGCCTATCTGGGAGGTCAAGCCCGGTCCTTGGACCTACCAGCTTTTCACGACCTGGCCCAGGTGGTGGCGCCCAAGCGGCTTCTGCGTACATGTCCAGCAACGCCCTGGGGGATGGATCCTCGTTACGTCGCGCTGTCAGCGAGCGCGCGCGTAGCGAGCGCGGGAAGCGTGGTGGTGAAATCCAAGTCTCTCTTTTGTCCCCAAACGGTCAAAACCACTTGTATTCTGCGAGTTGCTAACCCTGAACTGTCTTCGTTGCCAACCCTATAACGCAGCTCAAGTCTGAAGGAATGGGAAGTCTGAAATGCTTCAGTGACACGATTCCAGGATTGCCGCAAAGAACATGACCACTCCAGTTTTTTTCGATCTGGGTGGAAGCATGGACTGTTCTTATAGCTTTTTCAGAAGCATCCGATTGCTAGGACTGAAGGTACTAAGAATCGGTCGGACTGAAAACGCCTGCGAGCCTAGAAGGGTCCATGAGCGCGAAAGGCCATGTATCGAGTAGCAAATGAGCAAACGATGAGGCCTATGATCAAGGCATCGTTCGACTGCCATCATCTGTAGCTCCAAGGTGGCACATGTCTCTAACCGCTAGTGGCCTTTGGTGGATTGCTGTTCAAATACAACGAGTACTTTGGTCTTGGTCCCATTGAGGGTTGCAGTAAAGGTGTCACTATCAAGATTCAAATCTCGTTGAACACATTTAGTCAGAAACTTCAGCAAAAGAAAGCACCAAAATGAACCAAGACCTCTCGCCACAGGCCAATTCCACCATACCCTTAAAATGAACATCGGTGATTAGCGGCTGAATCCACAGCTCCTTGATTTGGGACATCTCATCTTGGGAAGCACCCAAGCACAAACCCATGAAATGCCAGAGCGAGAGGCGAGCTCATCACGCATCAAGGAATAAGGCAGTAGGAAACCATAGTTGTAGTCCTGCACAAGACCTACTCCCCCCTTCAACAATCACGGAAGTGGACAATGGCCTCTTGGAAGACAATGTTCCGAATACCAAGAAATACTAAGAGGGGGGTGTCCACTTCCATGATTGCTGCAGGGTGGCGTCCAGGTGTCAACAACAAGAGCAATGGCGGCCATGTACTTTGGGGACTCCCTGCAGAATTTCCACCAATCCACGAAACAAGTGACCGATAGCTTTCAATCAATGCCATCACCCAGACACTCCATGTATGCCATATATGCCCGTTGAGATGATCAAAGAGAGATGATCAAAGGAGTACCATTGGATCCACAATTTCGAGTTTCTGATTGTCAGGCCCCCAAGATGTGAGTCCTCTACCTAGGCCACTGCCCAGAGGCGTCTACCTAGGCCACCGGTCAGACTAGGTCGACTGTGTGAACACGGCCGCTGTAGATCCCGATCCAAACACACCAGAAACAGCTGGGTCTGTTCATCGTCTTTTGAGCGAATCGGTGAAACACCCAGCTGTTTTCCGTCTGAATCTGAAGACCGCTCCCAAAACAAAGGCTTCTTTGGGGGAAGTCCATATACCCCTCAGTCTCTGGCCAACATCCGTCAAGTGACGGAAATAGGACCCGTAACCAGGGGTACCTAATAGGATAGTCTATAGGGTTCTTCAGCCTCTGCTGGTCCAACGGTCTTCCATCACCCTTCCAACGCTGCCAAAAACGCCCTCCTCTTCCCACTCCGCTTCGACGGCGACGGCAAACTCGTACCTCGGCCTCTTCTCGGCACGTCAACGGAGTGACGGAGCGGCAAATCTCCCCCGCCTGGCCGCTTAGACCGATGCCACCGTGTGGGACGAGGGAAAGGACTGGACACCCCGACAGAACGGTCACAGCAAGTCCCTTCTACAAATGTATTGCAACACAAAAAAAATATTTGTATATATATATATACTAATATATATTATATATATATGCAATCTTGCAGCATGATATATATCTTGTTGAATACATTGAATATGGGCAGCATGATATATCTTGTCTGTGTTGGTGAACTTTGTGTCTCGGGGTTCCACCACATGATGCGTGGCCGGGGTACCAGGTCCGGGTGAGCCGAGTTGGCACAGCGTGGACGGAAGTGAACCGAGTGCAACATAGTAGTGCAACCACTGTGTTTTTTCCATCGTGACATATCACGACCATGCGGCCTTGACTCTTGACCTCTCTTTTGTCTAGAATTGGGGACGAGGTCGGTTGAATATGCAATAGAAATCCATATATTCCAGACACTCCATCAAACTTGCATATGTACCAATCACTTGGGGTGCTTGTTCAAGGGGTCCATGTTGGTCAATGTAGGCATCCATTCCAGTCCCGGTCGTGCCATTGGTGAGCCGTAACGGCAAATGGCGCGAAGGAGGTGGTATGTTGGGGTTGGGCAGGTCCTGTGTTTTGTCCGCTTTTCCAACTACACGCTTCATCTAAATGTATACAAATGTATACAAAGCTGATCCTTGATGTATATCCTATGTGTTTTCATGTTATCTTTTTCAATATTACTCAATGGGACCATGCCTTTTGGTCACACCTCTGACAAATAAAGCCTGCAGGATATCCTTTGGTGGCTCCACTGATGCTTCCAATCACCCAGAAGTGCAGTAAACACTCGACAAAAGCACATCCAACCAACCTGAAATACACACGGCTCTCAAGATGTGTAAGAGCCACATCCGTTCTCAGCCAAGTGGCATCCTCCAACTCAGGTTCTGCATTTCTCGGTGGCAAAGGAAAACTCCTCGGAACAACAGCGGCCTCCCGTCAGGATCCACGCATGTCTGGTCACCCTTAGTAAGCCTTAGTAGTCGGTTCTGTTCATGTTTCAAAGGTGAATCAGGGTGCCCCGGTTTGGTGACCCGAGCTTCAGAACTTCCTGAACTTCACCGCGGTGAGGTGGTGCCGAGTCGAACTGGACCACACTTCTTGAGACCGAGTCGAACTCGGAACTCCATTGGCCGCCAAGTCCATGATCCCATTGAGAATGGTTCTCTTCGCTCTGTTCGGCCGTACAACAACATCCTCCAAACAACATCCTCCATCGCCGCTTCTACACAGTACCTTACTTGCTGCATGTTGCGGTGGTTCCTGTTGTAGGAGTGGTTCTGTTCCGGAATTGTGTGCAAGAAAGGGCATTCTGTTCCAACCACCCATGGATGACCCACAAAAGGGTCCCCCTGGGGGCTTGGGTCAAGCGTTCTGGCCAAGCGACGCGCTGAAACCCCAACAATTCTGCAGGAGAAAGCCCCAGTTCCTGGCAGGACTTGCTTCCGGTGAGGCGCCCCAGCCGCTTGAGATGCACTGCGAAGAAAATCAACAACGACCTTCCAAAGAAGTACATGTACTAAGAGAGGTTGAGTGACCTGAACTGAGACCCGAGCTAGTGGTTCAAATGGGCTTGGCGGTGAAAAACCTCTCAAGACGGACGCCAAGAGCATGAGGTGTCTGCAATCCGGTGAATCTCCAAGTTTCAGGGCCCAAGCTAGGCGGTACCCAACTGACCAGGGTGATATGTTGAATCAGAACTGGACTTTGAGCGGTCTGAACTAGATTTTGAGGTCTTTCAACCTCTGATATTCGTGCTGGCGGCATTCCACTGCACTCCACACTCCACACCTTCCGACATGCCTCCACCGAGTTTTTGGCCTCAAAGCTTGATACACTCTCCACTCTCCATTCCCATGCTGAGGAAGTTCCCATACACCGCCCTGCCTTACGCCTTCCGAAACACCCGAACCTATCGCCGCGCCGCAAACGCCAAACCAGCAGGCACCGCTTCGGCCAGCGCGACACCATGTGGGACGGAAACCTGGCGACGAAGCTTCGCTTGGAAGGACGGCGAAGGCGAGGACATGCGGGGGTGCCTTTGGCGCTGGAACTGGTGGAATCCACTGGTTGATGATGAACATTCTTGTTTTGTGCGGTGGTCTTCTGTGCAAAGTTCTGGGGAGCGATCTGGGGCACCTTGACATTGCAAGGCCTGTAAGTAGCCAGGGCGAGCATAGATGATCACTTCATGCGAGCGTCTATGTATGGGTTTGCTGTATGTTCAAGTTATCTTGCAATTTAACCTGCGCACTGGAGGACAAGACAAGGCCAACAGTCTGAAGATTGGCGTACAGTTGAGTTAATCTATCTCCGAAAACGGGTGTTCAAACACTTATACCTGGCTGGGAACCAAACTCAACGAGCAGCCCAAAGGTCAACACATGAACCTCAGTGACCCATATAGGTGTATGTTGATAGGGAGGCCCCTAATCCAGCAGTCACAAAGGGGTGGTGTTTGGTCCCTAAGTGAGTGGATAATGGGCACTCCGAACCTCCATTAAGCACCCCTTTGTGACTGCTGGATAATGGGTTTAGTCTATTTCCCTTCTTCCATGGGGTCTTTGGGAGGTCTTCCTATTTTTTTGTAATAATACACATTATGATGTGTTCCTGTCCAAAAAAATCGGAGTCCTCGCAACTTGCCTTGCTTTGAACCATCATCAGAACGGCTTGGTCACCCGCGCTGCATAACTCTTCCGAGGCGCTCATGAAAATTCAGGGAGAGGCGTATGAAAGAGCCCTTTGGCCCTGTCCTGGAGCAGCACCAGCGGAAGCTTGCTGCAGCTTGTTGCACTGATTGACACACTGTGTTTGTTGCTTTAGAAACAAAGAAAATGACGGAACATCTAGTTGAAACCAGGTGTTTTGGGCACTCGGACAAGGCTTGAAGGTTCTTCAATCAAGTAAGAGAGCTTCGGGCTTCTGAGATTGGGAGATATGTCTTGGAGGGGTTCTGATTGGGGTGTTCATCCAAAGTTGCTTAACAATGTGGAGAGTCCGCCTGCAAGACACATCAAAACACTCTAGTTGATGCAACACAAGCTTCTAGTGATATGAAGTCGACGACCCGGGTTCATGCTTGTTGACTTCTTTTAACCCTAAACAAAAACCAACATACAACTGCACGCAAACTGTTGTTCTCAGCAAAAAGAACCTATGCACATGAGTAGCAATGGCTAAGGTAGTTGCAGGAGCAATACTTATATAATCTTATTTATATATATATATATCTTTATATCGCTGTGACTATAGCTGTGGCATAGTGCTTTTGGAGAAGTAAGAGGAGTAGCATTCCGCCCCCACCTGTCTGGGCTCACCGATTTCATTCCGAGTCCTTGGGGCTCTTCGGGGTCATGTTATTGATGACCATGATTTTGGTGGAGTGTAGTGCTTGTGCAAAGACTGGGTACCCATCCAGAAAGGAGTCTTCACTGGCTCTTAGACCCACCCAAGGCACCCGATACCCAATACCAAGACTTTCTCCTTACAGGTCACCGTTACTTCACCTCCCCATCCGCTGTGCGCCTTCCACAGCTGTCTGGCACAAAGCGCCATGTGCCATCACCCCGCTCTGAGGTGGTACTGCCATCCTTGGCAGTGGGTCATGGCACCCAGAAACCCTGGTGGACCCCAGGTCGAATGAACAGAATAGACTACCAGACATGGTCAACCTCCCATGGTTTGGTGGAGATCGAGTTCTTCACAGCCATCTTTCAAAAACGAGGTCGCCAGCGCCTTGTCTTTTCTGCTGGCACTAGGCGTATGATAAACTCGGTGGAAGGAAGCTCTAACGTCCCTAAGACCACCCGGGTAATTCCGCGGAATGGCCAAACAGTTTGCTTTTTTTCAACGAGCTTGTTCAAGCAATTCGTTTCAAGGTATCACTCAGTTTCTCATGCCACCCAGCTATGGATCGGCCCCAGGGTAGAACCCTGGTACTTGAGACTTCCCTCGCTTCACCTGTCTCCCTGGTCGAAAGAGATCGACGACGGCGGCCGAAAGCTTTTTCGAGCTCTTGGAGTGTCGCCGAGTGTCCATGAAGAAGCGCCTCCGGGTCGCCTCTTCTTTTTGCCACCAAGGGTCTTGCTGAGTCCTTGGCAGACTGAGCTGGAAGGAGTCCTTCACACATCACGTGAGCGACATCGTCCTCATGCGATTTGGGACTGCCACCTGCATTTTTGGGGGGGCTAAGTGAACAAAGGAAGGATACCGGAGTTTTCCAACATCCACGTTGGCCATGCCGCTGCTCATGCCATGAGCGCTCGTCTAAAAAGTACGATGATCCTTCATAAGAAGACATCCCCAGACATATTTTGGGACGAGCAAGTCACGTAGGCTGTTGGATGGAGGGTATCTGTGCGATGCTTGTTGGATAAAGGTGCATTTTGTGGCTTTTTCTCGGGGCTATAGTGCCCAATGCCCATATTTAAGAAGTCGAAGAACAACTCCCCAAACCAGGTCGTTGACTTGAGAAAAGACACCAAATCACAGGGCTCAAACTCAAACACCTCAAAAACACCTTGGAAGCAGCGGTTGCATGATCAGCCTTTTAAGCAAATGCATGGGATTCTGTCCCCCTATTTTTAGCGCCGATGTTGTTATGAGTAGAACCGCCTTGGCTAGTACACCTATAGTTAAGGAAGTTAAAACCCACAAACTCATTGGACCCTAATAGATCTTCACGTTCTCATCATCGCCCACCAACACCAACAGGATGAACAAAAACGAATCGAGCAAGCCTGTTTAACGGGCTTCAGAATGGTATCCATCGAGAGACCTGACGACCTGACCCGCATCAGGAAAAAACAAACTCCAAAAGAACACCATGCCAGGAGTTCGGTGGCGAGCATCATTTGAGAAGAATGAAACATATACTTGCAGTCAGTATAAATGTACCAAGGACTAAGTGCATGTGCAATGGGCTGTAGCTACACCGCCTGTCGAACGACCCTCGGATGATTCTACATCTTCCAACATTTGAAGACCCATCCCAAACCCTCCACGTATGCTATATATGTAATATGACAAAATATATACAGTAATTACTAGCTATGTATGATTTGCATGATTTGTGTTTTTTTTGTGAATCTAGGCCATAATATTGGTCGAGCACACTCCCACATGGAACAAACAAATATTTTGTGAACGAACAGGTGTTGTGTTGTTTTGGGAGGTCTGAGCTGTCTGCATCACCCCTCTGCCAGCTCTGAAAACAGGCTGACTCATCGGTTCCAAGAGTCCAATCTGACCCTGCGCAGCTCTTCATCCGACACGACCTCGAAGGCGCAAGACCCGCCGGAGCCGAGTCGCTCAGCGGACCACTGGACCCGAGCGTCCATGAGACGGAGCCGATAGAAACATCCCAAGGTCCAAAAGGACGGACGAATAAGGACACAACATGACACAACACCAAGCAGAACGCCGGAAACCACTGGTGTATCCGGAAAAACGAACCGACGACCACCCGAGGCCACAAGCTTCAGAATGGATAAACCATCACGAACTGAAGAACTGAATTAAACATCATCTACCTTGATCCCAAGAGTACCTCAGAAAATGGGTACAGTCGTACATCAGTCATGTCCCATTTTCTAAGGTACTTGAAGTCGAGTCCAGGTCCATTTGTTCAGTCACTTGCAAACACATTCATGCGGATTTGAATGTGCGATTGCGCATGATACGCCATCCCTGCGACGAGATCGAGGTGAAGCGACCAACGAAGCGAGCAAGTACCAGGCGACACTCCGACGAAGACATGGACATGGACGTGTTCTAGGCCGGGCAGACCATGAGATCCTCTACAAATATATAGGTGGTGAACTCCACTTCCATGTTAGTGAGTCAAAGGGTATACACAAGAAAAAGTAGAACTCGTTCAACACATGGTCGAGCAGAGTGAAAAAGCACTGTCATGCTGGTGTGAGGTTAAAGGGCTTGAGGACCTGACTGTTCGCTGTTGTAGCCATCGCTGATGCAAAGGTCGTAGACCCTAAATTCAACCGTAAAGTCCTTGCCCTCAACACAAACTATAGGCTATACCAGTGCGCCCGGTTTGGAGTGCTTCATGGACACCCCGAATCACCTACTTGGAGCAAAACGGCAGCCGCCTTGTTAGACACCCCTTACGACCCACTCCGGGACTGGCACGGTTTTTTTTCCTCCGAGTTGGGGTCATAGGGTATGCAGTTACCAAATTTTGGAGTCATAAATAAGGTATACCCGCATCTCTCTCTATATATATATACATATAACTAATTCCAGTCCCATCCAATGGTCTTGGATACAAAACACTCAAAAACAAACTGGATCTGGTATTGTCTCGCATCTGTGGACAGGCGTCAAGAAAGCTCAATCGCACTTGTGACAAACAAACAAACAAACAAACAAACGCCACAACTGCCTGAGAATGGTCCTGAAATGTCCTGAAGCTACCAGGTACCACTAACACACAAACGCCACAACTGCCTGAGAATGGTTCTGAAATGTCCTGAAGCTACCAGGTACCACTTAAAACAAATAACATTATAAGCCATTATATATATATATACCATCCTCACCGGAAGCCTGGTCCCAGCACCGGAAAAATCCATGATTCATCCACCCCGCTGAAAACACGAAGAACAACGCCACACGAACCGGACCCGGCAAAGCGCTCCAGTCTTCCCGGCTTTTCCTCGATCTGAGACACCATTCAAAGCGGCAAAGCTCCTCCGGCGTGATATAGCTGCGTCTCGAATCCTTCAAGGAACCCCAGTAAGCTTCCAGATCTCAGCGGGATCCGATGACACGGGTGTCACGGAGATCGACGGAGTTCTCATCATCGCCGGCCGCAGGAAACCGGGCTTCGTGGGTTTTTTTTGGGGGGTGAACGACGCTCGTTCGTGGTGAACGAAGCGAACGAGCTGTTACAACCGTGATGGAAGCGTGATGACACCCTCCAGGGGCATCAGTTCCCATCATCCACACACGGGGTGAAGAGCGGTCATAGGCATTATCGCTATAGGGCTCCAACCCTATCCTCAAAAGGTGGTTAGAACTCCAAACCCACCCCAACCATCTTCGAAACGGAGGTAGTTGGAGCCCTTGAGGATGTGTGTATATATATACCCTGAGAGCCAAACACTATTTTCAACAAATGCTGTTTGGAGTACCTGAAAAAGAACAAACACTGTACGTCACTGGGGCAAAATGGAGTCCTTCGGCTTCTAGGGTATCTATTTATTTGTAGTTACTATAGTAGCTTCTAGCTACTAGTAGCGATGCCTTTGTTACCAGTAGCGATGCCCTTGTTACTAGTAGTAATGCACTTGTTACTAGTAGCAATGCACTTGTTGCTAGTAGCGATGCCCTTGTTACTAGTAGCGATGCCTTGGTTCCAACAACGGGATTGTTCTTTAAGCTTGATGGATTGGTCAGGACTCCACCGAGTTGCAACTGCCTTTGGTCTCGGAGAACTTCTTCGGCACATACACCTTGTCAGCCCTGAGTGCAACGATGGGAACATGTTGCGTCAGGAAAAAAATGGGCTCCCTTGCGCAGAGTACTCCGAGAACTCCTAAGACACATCTTATAATAAGTCAAACAACATAAATACATGTTTCTGTAATCTTCGGCTCTCCACATGGGGACCATGCTCAAGTCATCGAACCCAACACATTGAAGATCACACAGACCTGATATCAGGACCTTCCAAGACTTCCTGATATCTGGTCACCAATAAATCACCCTACCCGGACCATGTGCCGATTCTGAAAGGAACAAGTACACTTAGTAGTCAGTAACATGTGTTTTGCTTGGCAACAGCTCGTGGGGCGGCACTTGTCTTCAGAACTGTGAAGCGAGGAGTTGCTCCATCTCGTGCACAGAAAATTGGTCACTTCTCTAGCTGATATTTGGTGAAAACAGGTCAAAACGTGGTTTTTTGCTTTTATGTGTTAAACATATCGTGCACATATTTGGTCAAAACGTTGTGTTTATGTGAGTTTTTTGTTTTTACCACTTGGAGTTGTTTATGCCAAGAAAATGAACATGGCCCCAAACACTCACACCTTTTTGATGGTTCGATGTCACCATCAGTATTCTGGCTGGCCCAAGATTCCATAGTGTCCTGCACTGCTGTTTCCAAACAGTCTGGCTCCTGGAGAAGTGGGTCGCCCCCCAGCCGAAGGCTTGAAGAAGCGGGACTCTCATTCGGCTTTGGATTGGCCCATGGACTCTTCAGAGGCTGAGTCGGCGTCTCCAATCTCCAAACATCTCCAAACTCCCGAAGAGTCGCAGCCATGAAACAAGGACCCCCCGTGGCTCCCGCCGGAAACGTGGCGTGGCGGGTTGACGGAGCACGCATCTGGATGATGGGTACTGCGCACTGAGCTGAAAAAAGGAGAAGACTTGATTGACATTCACCCACCTGGTGCTTAGTAGGGAATGAGGGTGTCTGGATCCAAAGGAATCTCTATTGGGGGCTCAGCCACCCTCATTCCCTACTAAGTACCAGTCAGTTCAGTTGCTCTGGTGGATGAAATACAACGGGGTACTCTACGACTTTGGCCCACCTCCAGTCCCACCACCGATTGAGTCTTTGGGCTCCAGGAGCTTTCACATGTCCATGTGAGCTATTGGACAAAATGTTCTGATTCCCCACGTGACTTTGAACGTGTCAGGTGGAACACGCTTCCACCGAAGGCTTGGGTCAAACCATTGGGCCAAGGTCTGCCCTTCAGATGATCCTAGTAGCGTCCTTCTCGCTCCGGAATTCGTAGGCGATGCTTCCGGAGCCCCTAATTAGTAGCTCCGATGGTGGAAAACATAGGACCAAGAAATCAACATTAAAGGGAACCCGCATCCCTCAGACGGTGGGGATCTGTGCCGACTCCGGAGCGCGAACCGTGCGCTGACGAACACTCGCCGCCGCCTCGGTCTGTCCCCCATTCTCCTGGCGCTTTCGCTCCAATGCCCTGATACGCAGAGACAGGCGACCACGGTCTCGGCCTGAGTTTCCATGATTGTCCCGACACCAAAGGACGTTCCGTGGGGAGTTGACCCTTCGGGTTCTCAGATGCTTTCAGGATGATTTCAGTGTGCTTCGGTCCAAATCACCATGATGTACCTTGTATGCACGTTCCAGCCGTTTGGTTGACCAGCGGCCGTTTTCATCATGAGACATGATAAAAGAAAAGAAATTCTGGAATGATCTGCAACTTTGTCCTGAACATGATGTAAGGCTTTTGTTGAAGGCTTTCTTGGGGGACCATTTGGTTGCTCTGCCTTTGTTGGAGATCAATCGTCAGTGGACTCCACACTCTACCTGGACTCTCCGAACAGGGATGGCGAACGTGAACAGCCACAGACCTACAAACCCACATACATAACCGTGTATCCAATCACCTTCTGCATGAGAAGGTAAGAAGGTACTTGGATGTCTAGGGTATCATCCTTAACCTTTTCCAAAACCAAATAAAAGGCTATATATACTTTTGTATTTGGTTATATATTACCTGATGTTGGCGCAACATGACAAAAGAAGTCGGTAACTACACCAGGACGAGACGGATCCAAGCATCAAACAGGTGATGTTAGCCGTGTGTGTTCAAACAGCTTCGCCTATACAAGCTCTGCATTCGCACATTCGCAGTTCGCAAACAGGCAATATGCACGTAAAGGGCCATCCCTAACCACCTTCTCCAAAGTCGGACAGCTGGCATCTGGAGGCACTCTCCCGGAAATTCTCGCAAGTCTCTTGCCCAAGCGGCATCGGCGATAGTGAACCTCAAACAGTTGCGCTTGCCGGTGTGATTTGTAGCCCACAGCACAAATGCATTTGCATTATTTTGCATTCTGATATCCTTCAAACAGTAGTATCCCATGATCTTCAGGTGGTGCAGAAGAAAACGGTCGAACCATCACAAATCTCAACGTGTGCAGAAAGGGGGAAACAAAGAAACATGCCTTGCACATCTGTTGGGCCACAAAACCCCTCCGGACCGCCGTGAATTTGTGCCGGCCACACCATTCTTTTCCAGCCACGTCATACGACTCGTATCTATTTTAATATGTAGGTAATGCCCTTGTTACTAGTAGCGATGCCGTTGTTGCTACATCACTTCTGGCCTTTCGTATCCTTTTGGGGCATTTCACGACTGTGGCGCAACGAACATCAAATAGTCTCACTGCTGCACGGTCCCGTTGGAGGACATGTGCTGTGTGCGCTTGGAGCTTCGCTATGTTCAAACCACCCCTGATCTCTGAAGGGGAGGAGGCACCTGAGAACATCAGTCCTGTGCTCCTGCTAAGTTTTTTTTTTCCCCATCTTCGAATTCAGAACACTCCTTTCTTTGGACAAGTTCCACTAATATGACAGGTGGACCAAGCTTGTTCTGGCCGATACAACAGCAAACATGCCTGGGAGCCCAAGCACATGCTCCAAGGTCACTGGCAAAAGCATCGACATGCTGGTGGACACCTGTCCAGCAAAACATGAGAGCTATCCATGGATGAAAAAAGCAAGCTCGAATCAGTGATCAATAATGGCTACTTCATTCAGTCTCCAGTCTGAAAATAAAGACATTAAATGTCCTGCTTCATTGCCGGTTGCTCAAAACCAGTGAAGGAGGAAGGAGTTCATGAAACAACTGTACCCCCCAAAATCCTTAAACACGTGAAGATGAGCAAAGAACACTTACCTGGCAGAGTTACCCAGAATGGATTCCGAAAATGTCACTGGTCCAATAATGACGTTGCATTGTACATATATACAGTAATATACTTACCGTAAAGTTGAAGATGTTGCAGTGAGACGTAGCATGGACCCATAGTCCTTCAACCCATAGTACTGCGAGGGGTCAAATGAAAGGCCGTTCAACGCGATTGATCTGCCTTTCAGTTCTTTGAAAAAGATCGAAACTGACTGACTCTCGCTGGTCGACCATAAAATGTCATTGCGATGATCTCTTATCTGAGATATGTTGGAGACTTACCAACCTTCAGTGAAGATAAATTGCAGGTGACACCCACATAAATCCTGGGCTTGTTTGCTTCGGCTTTGCCGCTTACAGCAAAGTGGGGGCGCAAACAAGTCAGCGTGGATCAAACAATATGCGTTGTTGTTTTTGTTTTTGCGGGACGAAGCACAACATCGACTAGACTGACTAGACTCTAGAAGAAATATAAACTCATAAGAGCTGGCGCGCACATGTTTCAACTCGAAGCTTGGCGTGCACACCTGCCGCAACTCACCTTCCGCCCTGGAACGAAGGTTCTTTTTTTGCAGCGAACTAGCTTCAGGATCGCGTGTATATTGGCTATGTCCTGAGGCTGAGGCTTCCACCGAATGATTCTCACTTGTTGTTCACCCTACTGGGACAAAGGTGCAAACGTGGTGGAATGGATGTTCGAGATCAGTCCATTGTGAAAAGAACATAGGCAGCTGATGGCAAATGGAAAGGTCTTTTCCATTATTTTCCTCATGGGTCCCTCCCTCCGGTTGAAGTCAAGACTTCAGCTCTGCTAGCATCAGTTCAGAATCTTCATTGGGTGACATCCTCACAGTTAGGCTAATCTGCTCTTCCCCAAAACTAGCTCTATGTCCTAATATCTGGGTGACATCCTCATAGTTTGTGAGATCGAGCAGCTCAGATTTCAAGCTAAGCACTCATGTGTTAGCTATGACCTTAGCAGTGCTATGACTGCGTCGCCGTTCGTCGCACGAGCGCGGAGCGCTTGCTCGAGCGAAAGGAGCCAAGGGAGTTGCGGCGATCGACCGATTTGACCTACGCGGCGAGAAAGGCCTGTTACCCTCCCTCCTTCCGATGTTGTTATGGTTCCAAACGGATGGCATGGCTCCCATGACTTCTGGGAAGACGAGGATGTCCCAAATACCCACAAGGGATTCTCCACGAAGCCATGCTCGTTCGAGGGCAGGTAGATAACTATATGTAGGCACTTCCTCATCGCATGTCTTCAGTCTTCGTTCATGGAACATCGCATGTCATGTAGAGCGTCACCGTCCTGCTGCAACATCGATCTTTCTGGAGCATTGAGACAGCACCCTCGGGTTACATTGGATCTGGGTGCGGTTGCGACCCACCCTCAAAAAATGCAAGTCATATTGTGTTTGCAAGGAAAAAACGCAGATACGTCATGTACGCTTTAGGAATCACGACTAACTCGCAATTCTATTTTGTACTACGGCAATCCTTGCGCCAAATTGTCAGATCAGCAAACACGGTGTCAAACGGTGTCGACATGTTGATTCCACATCCCCGACACGAAGATCCACACTCCTGTTTTTCTCCTGCGGGGCTCTGCGGCTTTCAGATGACCCTTCTGGCTCCGCATGCGCTATGAAGCTAGAGTCAAATGATCAAAGAGACCTTGGAAGGTGACAGGCAACTACAAGCTGCAATGCACTCTTTCTTGTATGCCCCATCTTCTCAATGTGTCCAAGTGGCAACAAGGGAAAACAGAACAAGGGACCCTGCTACATCATCCAATTTTTCAGCATATCACACACCATGACCTGCTGCCTTCGACCAGGAAGCACGGTATTCGGCTCCCCCATCGTGAAACGAGCGGCTCGCGACCCTTCTCTCGACATTCCTCCAGCTCCTTCAGGGGCAGGATGAAGGAAGAAAACAAATGAAAAAGAGAGACACCCTGAAGAGTCTTGTCTTCGCAGTTGGGAACACTGCCATCAGCAACAGACTCAGATTTGGGCCAAAATCACAACAAAAGTTCTCACGCCGATGCGCTGCTGTGTAAAGTACTCTTCTGCGGATCGAAAGAAAGAGCGCCAAGTTCAAAGGATCATCATGGCACTGATCGATGTGGGGTCTCCTTTGACTGTGAAGCCACCGGTTCTTCATCTAAAAACCTATGTGTTTGTTTCTCCTGTCACACACTCCAACGACTTAGCTGAAGTTTGCTTCTGTTGTTTAGCATGTCATCTCAATTATGTACTAACATACATGTATTCCAAATCTTCCAACAATGCAAGGTTCATGCCTTTTGGCTGGTGTTATAAATGGAACGGAATAAATCCTGCACAGTTGGAAGATCCAGGCATATATAGTATAGAGTATAACAATGTATAGTATATACTAGCTAGTAAGTCCTTCTCCGCATCCATTGATCGATCTGTTTATCTTTGAGTTCAAAAGGATGTTGTAGCACGACATCATCATCAACATTCATCAACCACAGCAACAAAACATCCTGATCGTCATCATGAAAAAACTTACAGTAAATCATTTATTTGAGAAAGTGTAGATACGTATACATCTGCTAGATATGATGAAGCGTGGATAGCTGAGGGTGTACTGTATTCTGTTGGAAGAAATTCTAGACTAAACACACATACCAGCAGTCACAAGACGGGGTGGTGTTTGGTCCCTAAGTGAGTGGAGTAGCTGGGCACACCGAACCCTCCGAACCTCCATTAAGCACCCCCTTGTGATGCCGGACCCCCAATGCCGGACCGGGCCTGGAGGCGCAAGCAGGCGCTGGAATAGGCCTCAAAGCTCATCTTGAGGTAGCACCTGCAGTCGGCCAAAGCGTAGCCCTACAAGAGACTCTTCATTTATACACAAGAATCTCGTTTTTTTTTGGGGGGTACTAAGATGTCTTGGCATCTTTAGCCTGACCCAATCACCTCTTTCATCTCTTTTCTTTGATATCTGCCTGGTCATGGATTGGAACAGAATTCCACAACCCCTCTCGAAGCTTCCATTTCAACTTCTCTATCAGGCTATTTTCAAGTTCCAGTCGATGCGCTTCAGTCGATGCGGGTGTCTAAACGATGCGCTCCAGAGGTCCTGGTCCTTGGAGGGAGCCAAAACTACAACAAGATCACTCCATGCCATCGCCGCGACCTTCGTTCGCGAACGACCTCTGGTGCCGCGACCGCTCCTGCCCGCGCGATGCGCGAGCGTCGCGGCCGGCGCCGGCGGCGCCTTGTAGTTGAAGCCGCTTGGATCCGACGGCGGCCTCGGCGATGGCGCGAGAGTGCGCGAGGCGAGGCCAGGCGAAGGGGTGGACGATAGGCGCATCGGCGCATCCAAACGATGGTTGAAAGAGATATATCTCTACCTGGACCCGACTTCACAGGTGTTTCCTGGTGACAACAAGGTGCAGAAAGCACCTGTTAGGCTTCTAAAAACCATCTGTTGGAAGGTCCTGGTAGGTAACATCTCTTTTCGTAGGTGTAGAGATGTTTGGAATTTGGATTCCTAGATATTATTAGGGTTTAAGGTGGGTCGGTGGAAAAGGATGGCGTTCAACCATTGGAAGAGTCTTATAGCAAGTGTTTGCGGTGCAGCAAAACCAAACCAGCATGACTGATAGTGCTGAGGGGCTGGGATCTAAAATGTATATAACATGTTGAACGCTGACCAATCTAGTGTTTTTTGGAATTCTTTGAAGGGTCAAGTCAGCATCCCATTTATTTAGCCTATCGTGGATCTACCTTATCATCATGGTAACCAGTGAGTGCAAACCGAATCAACGGTAGACCCTAGAGGTCATTGAGGCCCCCTGGTACCAACTTATGCTTATGATCAGAGTGGGGACCACCCTCACGTCACCTAATCTAACGTTACCAGAGTGAAACATATCATTTGAACATCGGTGGGTCCTCAGATTTCAATCGCTTCTTGCATCTACAGGTATTATGTGGACAGGTATTATGCATTCAAATCGACCACTGGTCTCCCTCGTGTCCAACGCTTGCACATTATGTGCAGCACATGTCGTTTCTTAACAAAAGAGCTAGAAACCCATCAGAACACCATGGCCGCCAATTCAAGGTCTCAAAACGGATTCGAACTTCCAATCATCGGTTGAACCGAGGTGTTCTAACCATGCGACGGCAGGAGCTGGTTTTCGCTTCGATGCGTTCCGAACACCATCCGATGTTCGTACCCTCGACCGGGCCGCTGCGACCAACCAGGAGGAAGTCCCGACCTAGACCGACCGAGCGAGATGCGCTCGAGACCGGCGATGGGTTGGGAATGGGATCGTCGACGTGGGGCGCCCCAATTGAGTGTGGTTCATGGGTAGAAACATGTATCTTTGGAGCAGCTTCCAGGTGGCCAGAAGTTTAGTTTAACCGTTTAACATAATAGGCAGCGTCTTCGCTCCACATGTGTCTCTTCCAAAGAGCAGCCGGTCGCCTGGTGTCACGAGGTGACCAGTTTGCAGCGCGAGTTGATGTTGGACTGTGTGAAACATGACAAAACAGTTGATATATATAGTATATAATATACCTGGAAACCCGTATGTTTTTTTTTTGATCACTATGGCTATTCCTCAGGTATATAATATATAGTATAATATACATATTTTTATAATATATATATGTATGTGTTTTTATCGTTTTACAATGAATCAGCCAGGCAGCAATGATTTGCTAAAAGGGGACCACTCATGACATTTTTCCTTGGTCGTGTTTTGTTTTAAACATCAGTTGGGCCTGTCTTTTTCCACAAAACAACCCAACATGACTCCCGACCCTAAAGGCTCGGGCGATTCGGGTGGCTCTGGCTTGACGGTCTCAAGAAGAGCCACTGAATTGCTGGGAACATGCCTTCCCTGTCCGCCAAACATCGGTTCGAGGAATGGGCCCCTGGGCTGCTCCAAACATCGGATTGAGGTCCACTGGGCTCGCGTACTTTGGAGCGGGAATTGGCTTGTCAGGCCTTTACGCGCGGACCGA